TCAGTAAACATTTTACATCTGTACTATGATTATAATTTCATGAGAACTGATCTTTTTAATGGTAATTCATCTAAGTGTCCAGTAATAAGGTTTGACTTATATTTTTGAAATAGCAACATAATTATGTGCAGCATTTTATTGCATAGCTGTAATGTGCATAAAAAGCGAAATGGCTGTGAGACGTCTGACTTCATAGGAAGGAGTAATACGGTTGCAGTAATTAAGAGGTTACATATTTTCTTAGTGTCAGCAAGCATAAAATTCTAGTTAGTTAGGTCTTCATTAACGACCGTCCCTCAGCAAGTGAAACATCATGAATAAGAATCTTATGGTAGAACGAGACTGACAAAACTTTCATTTAAACACGTAGATTAATCTGATGTATACAGCCAAAATCAAATTTAAAAGAACTGAGAGTAAATTTCCCATTATTACTTCAAAAAGAATTCACCATCTCCTGAGTTACTCATTTAACAAAGTTTTACCTCTGTTAAGTTGCAAGCTCTTGAAGGAGTGTTTTAAAAAGTTGTGGTATACATTTTCCCCAGTCATCCAATATTCCTTACACAACAACTACATGTTATTTGACACATGCAACTCTAGGCACCATGATTGGGATACCCATCGACCAATGAATGAAATAATAAATAATAATCAGGGAGCAACTTGATTAGAAGTAATTTCTCTTCCAGTGACATTTCACCTTTTGTTGACTATCTCTGGAACGTGATTGCATATTAGGTTAAGGTGACTGCTGTCATGTGTTCACTATTTAATACCTGTTTAGCTAGTCCTTACCGAAATAATTCAATTGTACATTCACCAACATCACCATTGAATGACGAAAGACTAAATTTCTAACAGAACATAAGTTCTAAGTTTGACTGCGGATTGACGTCAGTTGAGAGAACCGCCGGAAACCTGGAACTATATGACAGCCGTTCTATTTTGACTTGGGACTTTTCATCAGCATTCACCTATAGCTTCACCATGGATCGAACCCATGACTTCCAGGTTACAAGGGCAAGCTCACTGATCACTGAGCCACTTAGGCCGGAATCTAATGGCCCCTGAAATCCGACTTCCACAAATTCTCAATTTTGACGCTACCTCCAGTCTATGTCACTGGATAGTATATGTCGTCATACTCGAGCTAATGGAGTTCACTGGTTACGACTTCTTACAAGAACTCCAGGTAACTTCATCCTTTAGCCAGTAGCTAGTCACCATCAGATTAATTTTCAAGAGTTAGCTTGTAGGAATTTGACTGGGTTGGTTGAGTTACACAAGGATGATTAATGACAGTGGGAAAGGAAGTAAGCTAAAGCAAATATATCTTTGTTTTTTGATGAAAATGCCTTATAAAGTTTATTTTTTCTAAACAAGATATGATTTAAATTTAAAACGTGTGGTGTGTTTATACAGTAGATCTCAACTAATCTCACAATAAATGCATCTGTCACATACACCTATGTGACGAGTTTTAAGATCAGTTTCGAAGTGGTTCGAATTAAGTTAGTTTGTGAACAAAGAAAAAGGTTTTATGAACTCTGGAGTTAAATCTGTATTGTTAAGGAGATGTGGATGAAATTGTTAAGTTATTATTTGTTTAACTGTTTAAATTATTAGCGAGAGTTGTGGTATGTGATGTTCTAGTCAATTCAACTTTGTGCAATTAACTGATTTTAAAAAGATGCCTTTGCAGATAAATTCTACGATGAGAACTGTAAATTTAGAATTATAACTGCTTGAATTACTGATTCAATTGTTCTTCCAGTTAACTAATAAATATATATTTGTGTACATTATTATCAGCAAGTGGCCGTGATATCATCAGTCAGATGGTTTCTGGTTCAGAAATTTACAGGAATTCAGTTTTACATCCCTAAAATATATATTATATAATTCCGACAAATGGATCAAGACGGTCACCAGCAGTTTGAATCATGACTAGGCTGAAGACTAGACTGTACGAGTAAGAGAGTCTGTTAGATAAGTTTGAAGTGCTCTAGTTCGCTGATCTATAGGCGTCCGGTCTGAATCATGCCAATACAACCAATTTCAATTTCAGCTATCCCCCCACAATTTAGTTACACCCAGATTAAGGTTTTTTTCTTTGCATGGCAGGAATGAAATGAAAATTCCCAGAATGAATCATACAAAAAAGAAGGCATAACAGACAAGACAATTTTCTTTTCTACGAGTTATTTACAACAGCTGTAGAACTGCTTTTGTATTTAACGAAAAGCTCATAAAACTAACCAGATATTAGCAGTTAGGTTCTACAAAATGTATTACGTAACATGAGATGTAATCTAGAAAAGGAGTAAGTGAAGGTTAAAAACCAGAAGTTAAAATACATAGTAAGTGTGATGCATTTTCAAATCAATGTAAGTGGACAAAATGAACTTCGGAAATTCGTCTTAAAGTTAGGTACTAATGAGTAGTACGCTGGTATCACTTGTTGGGTGGTGGCTTTTCAATGTCATAAATCGTCAAACTTAGGGAGATTTATCCATCTGAATTCGATGAAAGGACTTATGAATAACAGGATAATCTTTTGACCTGAGAGTCGTGGGTTTTGTTCCTCTTGTTTTAGTGGATGCAACCATAATAAATTATCTTTCCAATCATCTTAGTTGTGCAATGGTTTCCCAGCTGATTCTGATTCGTGACGAGGTATACACTGAAATATTCAGTAAACTGATATATTGGCTAGGCACTCATCCATCAGATAAATATTATCTGTTATCTTCATGGCTGGATTGAAATCTAACAGATGGAAATCAAAGTATTGGGTGTAACACTCGTTGCTAACAGGTACACTCAGCGTACCGTCATTACTTGCAGTAAGTTATGTAATGTTTCGTGCTCAGTATTGCACGTCTGAATTTTGCTACTGTGATAGCGGCTGATTTTCTTTGACAAGGAAACCTTCAATGGCACACTTCTGGCCATCTGATCTGAAGGTTAATCAGAAATCAAAAGTGGTAGGTAGTGCAATTTATTGTCTGACTTCACAACCCGGTATATGCGAACAAACTAACATTTAGCTCTATTTCTTTTTAGTTCTGATTTCAAGAAAAAGATGGAAGAAGAACTACAGAGGAAGTTTATTAAAGATTTATAGAAAAGTTCAGATAAAATATTAAACATTATTTCTTATCAGTCTTCATTCTTCTCTTTTTAGTATTACCGAATTAAAGTAGGAGGAATTGTGATTCGAGTTTAGTTGAATATGAAATATAAAAACGTATTTAGCTGAAAGGGTAAGAGAAAAGCTTCACATTTTAAAAGTTTGCAATTGTTCGACCTCAAATGAAGCGCTTGCATCTTTCGTAATCGAATCCACTTCAACACAGATTCAGTTAGTGGGTATCTATGCTAAAGATTGTTTAGAATGGTAAATAGGACGTATTATGCCACCACTTTCTGTTTTAATCACTATGTAACTGACAGATATTTTGTGGGGAAAATACAAATAACTTATCGAAATATACAACTTTAGGTGGTCTTTTGAAAAAGAAACTGTGATGTAAACAACTAGCTAATTTAAGAGAATGATAAATTTAATAAGGAGAATGGCACTTCCTCATATTCTACTGAATTTTTCATTTTGGTTTTAAAGTTGTCTAGTACAAGTAACTACAATAACAGAAAACTGAGAAGATTGTTCTATCTTTTTGTTTTCTTTTCGGTCAAAGCGGACTTAGTAAAACTAATATTACATTCGAATACTTGATCGCATCCCTTAGGTTCACCTTTATTCGATGTACTTATTATTGTTTATTTACACTTGACCATTTGTCCAATTCACTCAGAGGAATATGTATCTCTTTTTTCGATAAGAATACAATTAAGTTACATTATTGCAACGTTCCTACCATAATATTATTTTAATTATTTTTGTCATCACTTGTGTTAACTTCGTTTATTTCTGTTATCACTACTATTATTATCATTATTACTATTACCGTTCTTATTGTCATAACAATTTATAATACTTAGCGTTATTATTATTCCCTTAGGTTCCGAGTGGAACAGATGTCTTCAACAGCACATCTCCATTTCATCCTGTTTTGTGCAATCCTCTTTGGCTGGTTGGACGATTGCCCATAAGCTCTCACACGATCCCCTTCCATGTCGCCCTTTGACGCTTCGTTCATCGGTTCCCACAAGAGTTCCACTCTGGGACCTAGCGCGTGATGTCACTCAACGGTCTCCTCAGTGTGTATCCAATCCATCTCCGTTTCCTTGTTGGGTCAGAGACATAGGTTCTTGGTTCGTTGCTAGAGTTCCCTGTTGGTAATCCTTTCTGATCATATGATCTTCAGTATGGAGAGAAGGCAGCTATTGATAAGAGTCTGAAACTTGATCGACATACTTTTAGGGACACGCCTGTTTTACTAGCCAGTACTAAACACAGAAAAAGAGGGAATATTGAATGTGGGTCTGGCTATGCTAACTGTGAAAATCAACCCAATCGCTGCACAGCCTTCAACGCACAGAAAAAATAACGCTTACCACTAACCTCCAAGTTGGTTACAGCTTCATAAATATTTAGAGTTCTGTGGCTTATATTTAAACATGTAGAAGATCTAGTTGACGCAAGACTACCCACTCACATGTTCTAGTGAGGCTTATGTTACCTTTGAGAAATTGGTCTATTTTTAATCAGAGAAACAGTCAACCAACTTGCCTTTCATTCATTCAAATAACCAGTGATTACCAAGCAGGGAAGAGTTAAAAGGCTGTAGTATATATATGTCATGCCACTAAATTACTATTTATTACAGAGTAATTCCAACCAGTTTAACATTAAATGAGCAGAACAGATTTATTTAACCAGTTAGTCAGTAATTAAAAGAAAACTTTTGAGTTGAAACTGCTTTAACTTCACTGTATATGATCATTAATTAATTAGTTATATTCTGTCTGATCGTTAAATAACAAGATAATAATTTTTCGTAACCAGTTAATGACTTTATTGCTCTTCGTGTTTATTCAGTGCCCAGTAAGGCTAAGAGAAGTGCACAGTAATCTCCCGAGGTTTCACTTCGTACCCAGTCTTCTAAGCTACTGCCTTGTTCACGTTGAAATACTTCGCAAATTGAACCTAGATCAATCTATATTTGATAGAAGCAAGAAAAATTTAAAGAAAACGATTTAATGCTACTTAGTCAAAACAGATAATATTATGAGTAGACAACCTGTTAATAGTATGGTTGGAATCAGTTGACTATCAGAAGTAGAAGGAAGATTAAGCAAAGTGAATGGTGCAACTACCAAACTCGCATTACCATTCTGTATAAAATGATCATGGTACCGTCCTTTATATCAATCCACACACATCTACAGATATAAATTTGACTGGGAAAATGTATAACGCTAACAGTCTTAAGGATTCCAGTATGCGATTGCTTCACATACGTACATATGTGTAAGCAAATTTCCTTTTGAAGTTGGCGTAAATGTTATTGTCTAGAATGAAAAAGACTTGATTGTGGGACCGCTTAGATCAGAGAACGCGAAAATTCCAAAATTTTAAGTGTGTATGTATGCATATATACTGCATAGCTGTGTGTTTCTTCTATGTTGTAGATACCAAGTAAGATGAATGTGATGGGCAACTTACCGAATGCAGTAAACAAACTCAATAAAAATGAATAAACCGAAATCTCATGCTATTATTTTCTGCCTCGGATTTTTATTTTCTTACTCTTATAATAATACATATCTCAACTTCCGGAATTTGTCTTTTCCCTCCAGAGCTTCAGGATAAACCTGCAATAGTCGTTCGCTGATTGTATGTTCACTTCTTTTCTTATTTGAAGGTGAAACTGTTCTTCGAGATTTGAACGTCTTTACAGTACATTCCTAAGATACACTGCTACTAATCCAAAGGTCCTGCGCATATTAAGAGCGTTTAGGCTGCTCCGTAGTTCTGTGGCTGTTTCACAACCAGGACTTAGTGGTTGTGAAGTGAAGAATCTGTTCATGCAAGACAACTATTTAGAAGGAAGGGAAAGACGCAACTCAGGTGAAATTTTGAACTCTCTAGATTTACACTGTTCATTGCCAACAACTTTTAGAAACATGTAACTTATGTAACACTCACTACATTGCATGATTTGTATGACAGTTAATTTATAGCAGTCTGATTTGACTTGATCACCATTTTTGTACTCTTAAATTGAAGTTATACGTCTAAAAGTATTCCTGATCACCGAATGATTTCAGTCGTCCGCTTCCAGTTTATCTACTGATCAACCACAGTGTTGGATCAGACCCAATTCAGACTATAGTATTCATTTTATTTTAGAGTGCATGCATTCATTCACGGATGAGTATCTCCTAAATATGTACTGAGTTGGACTTTCTGGATTCCATCTTATTGTAAAGCACAATCCATTTCATGCTTAACTACTCAGATCCACGTTACATAAAGACAACATAACAGCTGTATAGAATGTAAATAAAAATAAACAATTAATAATAAATGACGTCACCTTGAGAATCACTTATTCTCACTCTTTGATAATTTGATTCTGTTTGCACATGTGTCTTTTAAGCTTATTTAATTTCTAGATGGAAATAATTATTTTAAAGTACACAATAAGCGTTTTTCTTTGGAAAACTGAAATAGTGTGACTGGGTTGACGCCATAATCAGCGATTAAAACATCCGGAACAACGAACATTACCAGTTAATATAGGCAGTTAAAAATCAATAATCTCAGGCGACAGTGATGGTTAACCATCATAGATGACTTCAGTTTTTTGTCTTTTTTCTGTATACCTCATTAATAACGAGTACTGTTCTTATCCGCTTCTACGTGTTGTGTTCCACTTTCTCTGTTTGAATGAAACTACACTATACTGTAATATGATACTAGAAGTTTTATTAATATATCGGGATGAATGTACCACGGTTAAACTAATTTATGAATACTTTATGGAACCTAAAAAGGTCTAAACGAAGTTATATTTCACTGACAAAGAGGTACATTATCTGACTTCTCAGCAAAAACAGCCGTCAATACAATTAGTTAATTCTTCACACTATGATGTACTTCAATCCTTTCGTTTAAAGAGGAGTTTGCGTTTTATTGATATATACGAGAAGTGCTAAATATCTGGATGCATTTAAATCAATTCAGTTAACTAACTGGTAAATCTAGTACACTTGTGGGTAGCAATTCTGCTGGACTTAGAGCTGTAATGTTCAAATACTCGGTTGCTTAGATTAGGGTCACTTGTGAGTGAATTAAATAACCTAATGTAAGATGTTGTTTGAAAGCCAACAGTAGGTAATTTCAACTGACTGTTATTAAATATGCATCTATAACTACTACGTTCAACTAACCAAAATCAGGTATGATAGATGATGAGAAGCTTACCTCACATCTAGTAGCAATGATACGCATAAGTGTAGCATCATCTGTACCAGCTCCTTTCATAGCTTTGGCCAACAGATCTGCATAGGCCTTTGGACGGTTTATGCAAGTGCGTACTATATTTTGGGAAAAATATGGGAAAATAAATAATAGGTTAAGAAACACACCAGATTACAGCATTGTTTTAGTGAATGGTAAAAGTAGTATTAGATGCGTAATCATGTACTTTCAAAGTACTCTAATTTTACAGCCTAACTTATCAGCAGAGGATCAGAAATATCAGCTTAAAGGGGAAACTGAACAAACAATCTGAATTTTCATAACTTACTTGGATAAAATGACATGGTATCAAACAATCTACCTAGTGTTTGCATAATTGAATCTCCCATCAGCAACTATAGTGAGTAGATAAGTACATGGTCAGATAAAATTATAGTTTTTGTCAGTCAAAATTCCTTTTTCTTTATTATTTTGTTGTTATTTCTTTTTAAGATCGTTTCCTTGTGTAATATATTGTTATTTCAAAGGATTGGTCTATATTTTTCGCCTATGGTAACGTTTACTCGTATTCTGTTTGCTTTACTTTTAAAGATATCGACTGTTTTATCAGTACTGATCTAATTTTTTACTTTATCTCATGAAATGGCACAATTAGCGCAGTTAGTTATGATTTAATGAAGCTTTATGTTGTTTACTGGTTTGGTTGCCTACTCAATTGTCCACAATTTTGATAGTATGGTTAATATGTTGATGATTCACAAATCAAAGATTGAATTCTTCGTGGTCTCATTTTCAAAAACCAAATTTCGGCGTTCTTGATTTCGAAATGTTATGATACGTCCTAATTCGAATTACACTGCAGTTTACCGAATATTTAGCTATAGAATTGTGTTACACCTTCCACGTTACTAAAATGAACCTAGGGCTAAAATTAATACATCAAACCTAATCAACTTAATGTTAAACAAATAAACGTCTAGGCAGCCTGAGTATGTTTCAGGTGTTTTCAGTTTTGTTTTAACGGAAACGTATCCGGATAAGCAAGGACGCCACCTTTCTGTCCTTTTTTGTGAGCACACAGACTCTGAGTTCATAGTTCAGACATACTATTCAGATGATTTCTAAATTCATTTCCCTAAATAAAGTTGACTTTTTACTCTATTCAGGTGTACTGCTCATCAGAATACATTAATAAAAAGCTGTCATTTTGGTTTGCGTTTTGCCATCAGCTTTTGTAAGCCAGATAGTGTACTAATTGATTACACAATTAGGCATACTATGTTTAGTAAGACTGGTATAGTGTCGCTTATCAACAGCACAAACAATACTTTACAGACTCCCGGACAAGACGAGACATGTGTTTCGCTATCCATTTTAACCATCAATAAGCAATACATCTTTCCAAGAAGGCCTTATAGAAAAAAATACAGGTCATATGATTTCAATGAAGCCAACAGGAAATTATGAGTGTTGTTTATCCAAGGATTTTTGTGAACATAGTTCCTCTGAAAGGGCTTCCAAAGTTATTGAACTATTGACTAATTGAATACGATATGCGTAGGAAAACATTAAAACTCGACACCTAACAATATTTAAATGAAACGGATTATAAACAGAAAGTTACCTGGAGCCGAGAACTTGGAAGTAAAATTTTTGGTTACTTATCTCTTCTCCAGTTGCTTTTTCACCACTGCCTTATCGCTAATAATAGTAGATTTCTGATCTATTTCCCTAGAAATTTGACACTCCTTAGCCCTATCTCATACAAAATATTATATACAGACTCCTAATTGAATCCCAATTTCATAGACAAAGACTACTTAATTCTCTCTGGACTCTGATGATTTTTTAGTTGATACTGATTCAATCCACTGATGATATAATCTTTCGGTAAGATTTACATCGAAATACTAGCACGAAAAAACCAAGCATATGTATACATTGATAAATAAAAATAGATCGACTTACTAGTTAATACAAGAGCTCTTTTAAAATCTCCTGATGTTTCAAACTCAATCGAATCGATCAGGGATTTTCCATATGTCTATTAAAAGAATAAAATAAGACAGTTAAACTAAATGAATGATTTCCTTGTTAGTGTTTATACGCATAAGTAATGTCAATATTTGTCCAGCTTTTGTGAACATTTCTAGACATTTTATGGCCTTAGTATATTATTTCTAATAATGAGTAATAATGATTCTAGATTAAATATTCTTAATCTCATCTTATACAGGAATTGTTTCTTCATTCAGAGTCCTAGAAATATAGAGTGGAAACTATGACCAAGAGCGGTTAGCACCATATTGTAGTTTAGTTTGCTGATCACAATGAACGGATTTTTCCTTAGGGTTTTAAATAGTGTCTATGAAACTAAAGTTGACTATCAGCATAATGTGAGTAGCTTAAATGATGACTGAGATTCAAGGGTAAAGTTGTTTTGCTGGCAGGAACTTCTGGCTTTTGTAATGAGCTATTGTTAACTTTTCCATTGTGGAGCAGAAGTATTTTAGATAATATTATCCACATCTATGCACTTCCCTTTGTTCTACGCTTTTCTATCAATCAAAATGAAATTTCTAACATACGGACCTGGTAATTCTAATTATTTGGTTGTGAATGACATGCATGAACCAGTAGACCGTGTTTTCTGAGTGCAAATACATATATATGCATATACAAAAGTACAAACCTGTTCATATAGTTGTGCGACTGCTTGTATATGCCAAACGCTTCGATTCGCAACAACCTTGATAATGGCTGATTCATCAGTCCCCAGATGCCTTTGGAGAAAAATTAACAAGTTGAAGCACGTGAAATTTACAGAACGAGGTATACTTTTTCCAAAAGAAAATAGTATTTCAGTATTTCCAGCTTAATTTCAAGTCCGCTGACGACACTTTTTATAAAGATTAGTGTTACAGTAAGATTCAAATGAATAACATTGTATTTATGGATCTGTGGTGAATATGTTTTGCTTAATATAGGAACCTTGTGTTAGATGCGTCGTCTGAAATTATGAAGACTGAAGTCATCATGTCCACAGTAAGATAAAAAACTGATAGAGGCAGTGATACCCTCTTGTGTTTTCTTATACTTCTGTATTTACTCAGTCAACTACCTACTTGACCTTATTATTCTCAGGGATATTTTGGATTTTAAATATTATTCTAAATATTTGGTTTCGTTATCTGGTTCAAACAAAGGTCCTGATGACTTCCTTGAGTGGTTGAGTTCTAACTAATTCTCTCATTATCAAGATGCTAACACATAAGTTGTCTCTGAATTAGAAATTTTGAGGGGAATAATCTGTTCGTGCTGTATATCTGTCTTTTAAACAACTATTCGACGAAATGTATGAAATGGAGATTGTGATCCCTAATTATTATGACTTCTGGAACTAATTTGTTTATAGCTTGAAAGGTTTAGCATCATCGTTTTATCTCTCGTTTTTCTAAGTCATTATCTTGTGTTCTTCATGAACTTGGCTAACAGATATTTGCATGTGGCAGGTTATCTGGTGTGCTTTTTTTATTATTGTATCTGACACTTGTACTTTTAAGAAGTGTTAGCATGAACACGTATGAGAAAACCACACTCTCAATAAAATTTCATCTTGATATAAAAAGACTCCTGTCTCAAGATAGCTTTCAACTAAAGAACCCTAATTTTCCAAACGGATATTGTTATGTCGTAAAGTTGTAGAGTTTGTGACTCTCTTTTTTCTTGTTCTGTTTTTTTTTTTCATATCCGTAGATGAATTCAGCTTACACCTGACCTCTACTTTTAATTTTATCTCATAAATATGTTCCTGTAGTGCAGAAGACGCTTTTAGTCAAGTTATCTTTTTCAAACTTTTGATTGAATAAACTAATTTTTGACAGAAACCTTCAAAATTAATTTTCTGAAGTTCCAGTGATTGGTTTACAACCTAGTCAGGCTAAGGAACCGATTGTTTACTCATGGCTTTGATCACTGCTGTGTTTTATGACTAGCTGACAGAGTTCAGGAAATAATAACAGGGAATTGTAAACGTATTTGTAGCTAGCACCATCGTCACAATGAAGCTTGGATGTCACAAGGTAACTTTATGTGAGCTGCAATTACAGTTACCATAAAACAATTAGCTATATAAAAATATGTCAACTAAGACTGAGATTATGCAAAATATTTCATGGTTAATAAAAGAACCATATCAGTCATTTCGACATAGGGTTTAAGGCGGGATAATAGGGATAATTAATACAAGGAAAGAATTCTAAATAACGGGACGGCCACTGAGGTAGATTAGAAGTGTGTAATCATAAGTGACAAAAAGACTCTTAAACTAAGTGATGAAACTAGTTTAGCGATGGATAGCCCATAACTAGATATTGAATATTAAGAGACTACTAGTAGAAAAATGTAAACATCAGGAGCTGATTCATTTGTCAAATAATTTTGGTGTATATAGCTAGGTTGGTTCTAAAATTTCATCATGGCGTTTAAACTAAGTTATTCGCTTTTACTGATTTTCGATAATTTGTTTTACTGTACCCAAACGATCAGCTTGTTGTAATTCAATTATTCAGTGAATGTCTCTGTGGATGTTGCATTCTGGTATTGTTGAAAGTACACATTCAAACTTAACTGATATAACGAATCTTCAATTAATCAACATTACATTTACTTCCTTCTACGGAGGACTGGTGTCTGTGTTGGTGCAAATGAAGGCGAAAAAACTTTGTATAGACTGTATTAATACCAGTGACCGCTTTCCACTTATGACTTAGAAAAAAGTGACATAACTAGGGATTAGTGAATTACAGTGGTCTTGCTGTTGATAATAAAGTCATCAGGGACAAACCAGTATAACTTGAAGAGACCGAAAAAACTAAAATAATTCTTCTGGGCTATAGATACGCCTAAACATTTCTCAATCATGGACAATTCCATAAGCAAATTCATAGCTATAATATTAGGAATAAATTTGTAGACAAGAGAGTAGCAGGAGATCATACATTGTATCAGCAGATATCTAAATCGGTGTTTATCATACACCTTTTACTAAAATCTGTCCAGTATCTCCATTGATGTTTTATACCAAGAAAAATCAATTCACTTACGCTTCACCAGCATCCCAAAGAGTATCGACGTCTTCTCTGACTAAGTTCATATCAACTACACTCTGAAGGCCTTTACTCGCTATTTTTTTCACATCTTCAAGGTCAACTTCATCCCGTTCTGCTTGAAGTAGTGCCACGATGAAATCTCCGAAATAACCACCAATGTCATCTTTAACGTCATCCTCTAAAGTTCGCGAGCTATCTGTCAAAATAAAATGTCGATTTTGAAAAAAACACTGCTTAAAATAAATATTTGGATTAAGTTTTAATACAATTATAATATTGAGGATGATACTAGTTTCCAAGTAGATTTTTGTTATGAGGTAAAGTTGTCTAACCAACTGTTGAAAAAGAAAGAACAATGGGCAGCTGTTCTGTCCTTACTTTTGAAAATGCTGAAGTACCCAGCCGTGACGCTGTTAGGAGACGAGCCAAAAGCAGTTAGGTTCTGAGGCAAACAGGCTAAGGAAACCAGTGGCTAATGGATTTCAGCTTTTGTCAAGTTGTGTATGGTAGAGATTAATCAGTCTTCAAAATATACATATATAATATTTAGTCGATAAGATAGTGATGAATTCATTGTAAGCTGTTGAGTATAACACAAGGACGAAAGTCAGCAATCTGTAGACAAAGACTGATCATTTTATTCTTTTGTAGCTACAATACGAAAAAATATCCGATTAACAAACATGAAATGGGTATCATAACTACTTAGCGCAAAGAATATCTCTTTCATACTTCTAACAACTGACACTGATTTTGAATCTCATTGTGGACAATTAACTCTGTCCAATATCTTTAGACGACAAGTCTTGTATAGGATGATACATACCGTCCTGAATCATCCTTCTAATAACCACTTATAAATTTATAACCAAGATATCTCTGTAAGTAATGTTGAGATGTCTGTAGAAGGAGCCTATATGCCATAAGATATAGATTAATCCACACCTGTATTATCAGAAAAGAGAAAAAACACATATTGTATTGAAAAGTAAAACAGTTCAACTTACCCCCTCCATAATCCATCAGTACTAAAAAAGTAAAGACCAAAAACAAATTATTTAAAGTATATTACTTTGATCGTGTGCAAAGTTATCAATGACAAAAAACAACTGGCTGGAAGTTATACTGATTATAATACTCATCACTATTGCGTGTTTGTCATTGCGAAATAGTACTTGTTTCCTTAAGTGAATTTATTTTTGTCCCAGAATCACATACAATCTTAAACTTCTATGTGAATTTGGATCCAACTCGTCTTGTTACTCATTAAACATCAAGTGGTGGTTTGCAGGGATTTGACTGATTACGGGTTAGATCTCGAGCTGGAATCAGTTAGAAAACCACTGGAGGATCACGGGGTACTGAACAGCTGTTTCTTCCAAGTCTGGGACTATTCAGTATTATGCAACCACCAGGGTTCGGATCCACGAGCTTCCGGTTGCTTTCTCTCTCTGTCACGAATTGGTAGAAGCTGGAATTCATGAGGCACCAGGTCGGGTATCAGTAGCTAAATGGTTTACTAACTCGCCTCGCAACCAAAATGTCCTGAATTCTAACCTCAGTGGGTGTGTACTGAAGACATGTCCCAAAGTGGAACGAAATGGGTGTCCAGTAATCCCTGGTTCTTGTAAGGTACACCAAACACAATAAGGCAGTACAACAAAGTTCTGGTAACGTTAACCGAGTAATAATTGTTGTTACGTCCTGGTTCACAAGTATCAAATGATAAAACTACTCCACATAACTACTGAAAATCATTGCAAAAGCGAATGTTCAAAGGAATCATATATATCATATACTTTATAGATATGTTCCATTTAGTAAAAGGTGGTAGATACGAAGTGGAATTCTTATACAAGCTGTGTAAAGAAAAGAATTCAGTGTTAATTTATACAGCTCTAGCTTCGTTTTAAAGAACCGTTGATCGTGATCATATATGATAGCTGCAATTTTAACCATTGTCAAATATTCTAATCTTATATTAGTCAACATAATTGATTTTGATCATATATACACCCTCAGTACTCAACATTATAATAACTCTTGAAACAACTTACCATATGGATAAAATTGTCTAATCTCAAGAATTTCCTGGTTGGTAGATGTACATAAAATTTCTATGATAGTCTCTTCATCTGTGCCACCACCTTTCATAGCTTTATAGAGAGCACGAGCATTCACTTTTGGTATTTCCAACAAAAGAATTTTAAGTAGTCTTCTAAAATCACCGCTTGTTTCGCTACTAATAACCTCTATCAACTCCTAAAATGTTCACGAAAACAAGAGAACATTAGACTATTGACTGAATAAAATAATGATTTTAGTCCATTACAAATGGCAATGTGGAAAAATGAATAATCTTTCAAAGATGTAAAGTGTTGAGTTTGCAAAATAACAAAAAGGCTTTCAATTTCTTCTGAGACATCATCTTTAGTATTACTTCACGGAAAAGTCAATTCAGTGTAACTTCCGTGAATTGCAACTGGGGGAATTTCTTTTGAATTAAGCAGCTTTTTGGTTTGTGACCGATTCTATGCCTCACGACCTGTCGTTTCGGTAATACGAAAGTTTTGATTTCGTCACTGTATCGATTATGGTTCGCCTCTTTTCATTATGTATCAATAAGATGTTACTGATAAGTTGACTATCATCATGCGTGATGTAGTTGCTGTTTCTTCGAACACTGGATACAATTCCTTTAGTCGATGAGACTAAAATTCATCAAAATTGACACTGACATCTGACCGACTCACAAATAACCTGGAATTTTGTACTAATATGCAAAGGTTCAAGCTACTATAATTCTTTCTAAGAGGCATATTTTAGGAGGAGAGTCAGCCTGTCACAACACAGTCTAATAGGTAAACAAAATTATCAAGGAATGAATATACTTGCGCCATTATTAGCTATTTTAAGCCACATAAACAACACCCAATAACCCCTAAGGTTCATTACCACAGGACAGAAAGGGTACATATTTCTGACTTCAAGTGTCTTCGTTGATTTCCCTTCATTAGGTAGGATAACACAATAAGTAATATCAAAATTAAGCGCAGTGTTGTTTAGGGAAGGTGAACCACTCACTGAGAATATGTATCCGAATGAAATTCGTTATATTGGGTATCAATGGATAGTGGATGTCACTGTCTATGTTCATTTTAGATGAAAAACTTTCCTTAGGCTCTTTTAGGGCTGCATTAGTCAAACGTTTTCACAACACAGTGTCACATTTGTGTTGGACATTATCATATGGTATAGGATCAAACTAGATAAAGTTCTTTTATTTTAAAATACTGAACATTATGTGAGAGCTTCAGACAGAGCATTAGAATTCATTGAGGTGAAAGTATATCTCACTGAAGAATTCTGAATAATGAAAATTAAATGTACTAGATTCCACTGCTAGTCATCATTAAAAAATAGAACTAGAATTAAACTGAAGGCGGTATATCGATATCTGTTCAAGGAGATCTATTGTCAACAGTGGTCAGAAACTTTATTCTGTTGAATTCAGTGGCAAATGATGTATCGAGCCGAACAGGCGACTTTTGCGTAGACATTGATTCTACGTTTGAAACGACAAGTAACAGCTTGAAATTTCAATGAGAACTTTATAAAGAATTTTGTTACAGATATAACTAAATGACGTGTCACAAATGAGACAAATCATAAAATGACACGAAGTGTGAATAGGTTTTTTCATGAAAGCTGAAATCTTTTTGCTTAATATCACTTCACGCCTAGTTCAAATTTCATCAGTTAGAAAAAAATGACCTAAGAAAATGAGAAATACTGGAAGACTGAAACATCTGATTTTACAGTTTTATTAGTCTGAGTGATTGTTTTCTTTTTGTATTTATTAGCAAGTAAACATGAGCCATAGATTTTTAATCTAGTTGGTATATCGTTCCATTTGTGGCTGACCTTGAACTTTAGGCCTTCTATAACCAAAAGTTCATAACAGATCTATAATATTTTACAATGGCTTTTGAATGCTTTTCATCTCCTTTAATAAATGACACCTGGAAATATATAAACTTCCGATTTAAAATCGGCTTGATATACTTCGTAGATAAACGTAAAATTTCAAATTCCAAAATCTAGTGGCGTCTTAATTTAAAATTAATTGACAGGTAGATAGCCACTGGATTTTAAAAACATAGCCCAATCGCAATCGTTACCATTTTAGATGGAGAATGTATCGTTGACACACGTCTTATGTGGTGGGAACTTTTAGGAACCCTTCAGAGTTATATATTTTGCATATAAAATTAATCGTTAACCTGAAAACGAAAATTGAGGGTACAGTGTAGTTGCGTGTTTTATAAGTTTAGTATTTCTCAATAGAGTGACATTAAAGTTCTTGGTCTTAACAAAGCGGAACAAGTGAAAAACAACTTATTTGATTTTTGTAAAGTGGTTATTCTCGCACTAAATCTATCAACTACAATTTTTGCATTATTAAAGTCGAATGAATTCAGTAGAGAATAGTTAATAAATTCATGTTATTAAAGAAGATGCTATTTAGCCAAGAACCTTGAAATCCTGAAGGTTAATATTCATAAATGTAATTTATCACTTTTACAAATATGAGCCACTTATACTGGTGTTTTGCTATCAGTGTTAAATATCTCTTGAAACGCTTTTGGTTGTATCCAGAGTTTTACTGAAGATAAATGTTACTACTTAGTTGCATCTCATCATCTAGATTTTGAGACGTAGCTAAGTCTATTTGGAGCATCCTAAAGTGAAAGAAAGACGTTTCTCAGAACCAAGTATTACTTAGATGTCATCAAGTTGGTTGGTTTTCAAACATACATTTCTCATATGGTAGACACTGTACTCGACTGTATTGAGTTCTTTATTGTAGTGCATATCAGTGTGACTCGATATTCATGGTTATTTCCTGTTTGAGGCTCAGTGCATTTAAGTGAACATGAGTACTTATTCCAAGGTTCTAACACAGAATTTATTTTCAAGTATTGGTTTTGTAGGGATTTTGTTTGATTGCATGGAGGATTTCATCATGAGCTGACATCAGTTGTCTAACAGAATTTATTGTTTCAAATTAGCGAATATTATGCATATAACAAGTATTTGGGTAAATATTAGTGTTATGTAGGAAACATTTTGAAAATAGCCTGTGGAGAATGCTTTTAACTTCCGGTGAATTAAACCTAGTCGAATCCTGAATAAAAACAGAGCGCTGATGAAAAGTGGCTGCATGATATTTTTGTCAGTCGAATCTGTTTTGAAATGAACAAAATACAGCATTAATCGCGGAGCCAGCCTTCGAAAATGAGTTCATTGAGATCATGTTTCATTTTGGTTTTCACTCATGATTGATATCATTTTAAATCGACTGAAGATTAAAGGACCTTAAACATCTGCTTATTGGAGACCAATAATATTTTGAATTGATTTCGTTTATCACAGTTTCTGTAATAAAATGTCAAACCACTACCAATCACTGACCTACCTGCAAAGGTGTTTCTCAAAACTCTTTGAGAAGTCATGAACACTATGTCAATCACATTAGTCTCAAAGGTGATTAGTCATACAACACTAGCTATCAGCGCTAAATAGCCAGTCGGTAAAAGTTAAAGACTTTGATCTGCCAGCTTAATGATAATGTACTTTTTAAGAGACACTGTAAAAACTCTCACCGTATTCCACATTGACAGACATGCTGGTAGTACAGAAAAGTCGTAAACTAAGTCCAACCTGATGTCTAACGTTTGTCATTTCTGTGTAATTTTAATATTTTTGCATTGTTATTTTGTCTTTATATAAAGAAGCACTTAAAACCGATTACTTCGCGACGTACTTCTGTCTATTTTCCTGAGATACGCCTGTCCTGTGAGTTATTTACATCCTCCATAAAAACCCTGAATAATCTGATCCTTATCTGGATTGGTTCCTCCTTTCATTTAGCTTAATCTTGTACGGAAACTAACTTTTAGAATTTAACCCTTCTTTAATGTTAGCGGTAGGGGAATTAAGTTTTCGTTGCCTGGTTAGCGATGGTTGCAGAAAACGGAGCTTATTATTTATAGCATTATGAAATCTAACAATCTTCACCACGTAAAAAGGCCTATTTGCAATAGCTTCATTTTGTATCACATACTCGTGAAATATGATTGCACTAATTGGTAATCAAACAGAAATTTAAGCTTAGAGAACAACGCATTGTAATCAAAAGAGAACAATACCAGCCTTGTGAAATCTTAATAGGCAAGACATTTAAACAGGAAACAAGGCCTTTAGTCAGTAAGGAAAATCTATAAATCTAAGCATAAAATACAATTTACTGCATATACATAGGTATGCTGTCTTACCTTTCCATACAACGCTTTGTATCGGTCACGTATTTCGAGTCTTTGGAAAATATCACGATGACCCAAAATATCTATCAGACCTTGTTCATCAGTACCTAGTTAATAAAAAAAAATTGAAAATAAAGTCAGCTACTGTGCATGTCAATTGAATAATGCTTCGTTTCATGTGCACAGTTAGGATTACGAACCCACCTCACCAACAGCTACAAGGATCAATCACCAACAACGACAGAAATATCTAAAGAAGGTCAGTCCTTTCACTTATCTCAAAACATCGTTCCAACTACAGATAGGCTGCTTGGATGAGAATGTCAAAGGCAGCACACATGACTCTGAAATCAGTGTGAAAATCTGTTGTCATCAGCATAAAGGACAAGATTCAGATTTTCAACACTAATATCAAACCAGTTCTTTCGTAAGGTGCAGAGACTTGGAACGTCACGAAAAGCAACTGCATTGGACTTCAGAATTTCATCAATAGCTGCCTTCGCTCAGTACTGAAGATCACATGACCAGATAATACAGGCAACAAGGAACTATTGCTCAACAAAGGCGCTGAAGGAAATGCAGAGGAATCAGATACACGCTGGGAAGACCGTTGAGTTATATCACTCATCAGGTCCTAGAGTGGAATATGTATGGAAAAAGATGAAGTAAGTGTCTGAGGGTGACATGGAACGGATCGTGTAAAGAGGACATGGAAGCTGATTAGTAGTCATGTAGACAGCTAAATAGGACTCCAGAGGAAATGATGAAGTGTTGAAGCCGTATATTCTACTTGGAACCGAATGGAATAATAACAAAACTCACGGTATCTTTATTCCAACCGAATTAATAAGTTTCACTTGACCGATGAATACAAATATTGTAAATAAAATCTCACAACAAAAACCAAGGCGGTTAAAGCTGAAGTATTCTTCAAGATGGTGTTTTCTACATGCTCTGGTCAGAGAATAGGAAGTAGTTATCAGACATCTGACCAACTTATAGGATTCATGCAGACGCCTGATAATAAGTATCGGTATTTATAAGATAACGCATGTAGGATGCATGACGTGACAAAGAGAAATACTAGCGTACTTCTGGATATTAACATATTCTTATCCAACTTATTTTACTACATTTTTAGTATACCCACACTCCAGTAATAGTCTAAACAGTCAGCCTAGATAGAAGAACTAAAGCGCATACACTTATGACTCAAAAATGCACAATTTCGGAAGAATGTGAAGACAAAATGTGTTGCATACCAAAGTGATGATCTAGCTGTTATTTTACATTGTCGCTAAATGTTTATTTCTGATTAGTAGATGAATACAGAACACACGTTTTGGTTATTAAATCTTTCGTTTATGTAAGTGATATTCCCACTGGTATGGAACGGAGGATGCATCATTTTGAAACACCAGACTACAATGCCGTATATATTGTTGATTACTTTTAATGTTCATTTCTTATTGCTATTTGATGTCTTGACGTGCTGCTGTTCCTAAATGCTTATCTGAAAAAAATCTTTCGTTTGATCCTGATCTTACAGAGAGGAAATCCATGGACAGCATTTCATCTTACTTAAGGCTTATCAGCTGATGAGATCAGACGCTAAAATATACTGACCAATTCGGTTCAGCAAAATTAGTAACAAGAAATTACTGATACAAATGATTAAAAGGTGCATATCAGTCGACTGAATGGAATTTGTGGATCAAGTTAACACTTTTCTCCATTCAAGTAACACAGATTCAAGACAACGGATGTTTCCCGACTATTAAACACTGGTTTAGTGCCACTTAGTTTACTGACTACATTGAAGATTCGATCAACATATTTACTGATAGACAGATCCCACTGCAAATTAGAAGTCATTAGATTCGTCAAAAACTTTCATGTAAATATGTTCAGTGATTTGATAGTGTTTCTTTGGCACTAAACAAGTTAAAAAAGTATTAAAGCCATAAAACAAAAAGTCTAAGCTTGAATGAACACATTTTTAGTAATGTTCTCAACGTAAAGAATCAGTTGAAAGCTTCTGATTAAACCACTTGAATATTGAACCTGAATAATTCACGATTTTAAAGATTTACATGTGATGAAACGTGTTGATGATTCCAAATTGGAAAAACCAAAGTGCAATTTTTGTCTAAAATTTATTTAGAATTAAAGTTTTCTAATTAAAATTTGGAAACATATTTCGATTACCTTATTCAAATAAAAAAAGAATAATCACATGAATTATTGTTTTATTTTTCGTGAGAGAATTAGTTTCTTGTCTAAAAATTGTTATATTTCTAATTGGGGCTTTGCAGGGATTTGATTGGTTACAGGTTTGATAACGAACTGAGATCAGTTAGAGAACCGCTGGAAACCAGGGAGTACTGTACAGCTGTTTGGTCTCAGTCTGAGACTCGTCAGCATTACATTCCCACCACGGTTTGGATGAAGGACCCCATCCGTTTGCAAGACAAGTTCGTAGACCATCCACTTATTAGGACCTGACCCAACGGCCCGTGAATTCCTACTTCTGCGAATTCACAATGTATAGCGAAGCCGCCCGCCAATATCATCGCTAAGTAGCTATCCTCTTACCTGACTTCGTATACCCCGCTGGTCACGACTTCTCACTAGAACTCCAGGTGACTTCCTGTACAGAGCCAGTTGCTAGTGAGCATCAGATATATCCCGAATTGACAGAAGTCAGAATTGATGAGCCTTCTAACCAGGTAGCAGTGGCGGAATGGTTTACGAACTCGCCTTGTAACTGAAAGGTCCTGGGTTTAATACCCAATGTGCACTTACTGCTGAAGAGACCCAAACTGTGGCAAATCAAATGTTCGGTACTTCCAAGTTTCCACCGGTTCTCTGAATAATGTCAGCTCGTGACCGAACCTGTAATCTTGTTAGACATTATTTGTATAGACTGTGGAGAGTGTTAGACAAGAACAATGAAATTCAAAATAAATGTTATTTTAAATTTAGAATAAATTGGTTTTTTATGTGAGAAACTTGAGTTCGGCATCCATTGTTTCGTTAGTAAAAGAATTCTTTTAAATCAGATGAGAAGTATGAATGGGAATATCAATTGTGAGTGAAATACAGACACATCCTAATTACTAATTGCATAGGGAATAAAATATGCAACTGAAATATCTTGGAAAGGATTTCATTATGAATAAACATCATGCAGAAAAGTAATAAAAACAAGGAAGAGCAGGACCGCAGACATGAATAAGTTCATGAAAGAACACAGCCCAGAATAGTCATGTTTCCTAGGTAGTACTTTATCATTCAGCCGCTCAGTAAGAACTGAATGATATACTTATTCTACCCTCGACCGACTGAAATTAACCGGCATGTTGCTAAGTTATTCAAAAGACATAAGATTTTGAGTGGACTAGCATTAAGATACATTTATTCTAATGTAATTCAATGGCTTAGCAATAAATCGTTTATATTCAGCCCCCTCGAGCTACTTTATAGGACTCGACAGTTATGTAGTTTTAGATGCAAACGGTGCTGTTTAATTTTTCAGTGGCTGTTTAATTTGTGGCGGAAGCACACTCGAAATTAAGCGGCTATTTACAAATACTTTAACTGAATTAAAATCTAACTATAATCGAATGCACAACTGTCATAGTGTGTATACATTTGAATAAAGTGGCCATTACAGAACAAAGCAGTAGCAAAACATGGAGCAAGCGAAAAATGATCCATTTTATTTAGTCGATATCCTATCAACTGCTTACAACGTTAAAAATGATAGTCAATAGTTTTATTATGAATTTTTTTTTCGTAGGTAGACAGAATGTCAAACAATTAGAAGAATCCTGGTGTGTTGATGAATTGAAATTTAAGTAAGTAAAATGTAAAAGTGCTACTGTACTTATGTAAGTTTTAATGCTACAGATGTTTCACGAGTATAACAGGAAGTGGGAAGCAAAGGCAATACAAAGATACTGAAATATACAAATTATAAGATGACACAGGTCATTCGAAAACTGTTAATAGAAAAGATGAACTGAACTCCTTCAGTAAGACATCAGACATATCATCCGTGTCGTTTAATAAATGATGATATAACTGAGTAAAAGCGGAAAGAGACTAACACCTACGTTCAATAAGAGATGACATAAATAAAAGTTAAAAGATGAGTAACCAAGGAAGGGAAAGACTTAGTAAAGCTTCTTTATAACTACATAAGCCAGGTTTTATCCGTATGTTAGCAACGCCTAGTGCGAACTTCAAGAGGGTTGAGCATGGTTGTTTGTTTATAATTTCGAAGTAATTCAAGATGTCCATCTGATGTCTTACATCAGTTAGACATCTCGTTATTGAGCTGATTAAGGGTTCACTTCCTTCTAATCACAGACTTTTTCAGTGTGTTCAGAAAATCTAAAATAGGCTTGTTTTTCTTATCTTATAATGTATCCTCATTGGCAGGTATACGTTAACTGACCATTTTAGTTTTATGAATCAAATTTCATCAGTATGTTCGCTTATTAGTGGCAACCAGTGAAATCTTGAATATACATCTCATAGTAATGAGAACTCGTCCGCTTAATCTACCTGTTTCAGTGTGTCACAGAGTACCTACTAGGAAGGGTGTGGTTCGAATTCCCATAACAGATAGCTGAGAGATGTTTAAGGGGAACTCTTTATCATTTATTTAGTACGGGTATTTAACTACTGAACAGTATGACAATACATTCAATAAACCCACATTAAAATTTATTAAAATCATATCTAATCAACCAACTGCCAAACTCCTCCCGCATTACTAAATACAGAAAACCAAATAAAATGGGTTCGGCGAATACGATTAGTAGGGTTTCATCAATTAGGCGAGTAACAATGTTGAAAGCTTGATCCATACTCTCCTGTCGGAACCCCCTTCCTTTAACAACCAACTTACATAAGTCATCCAGCTCCACGGGGAGTAAGTTATGATTGAATTTCTTAGGGATAACATGTCTGACTTAAAAACTGAATGACAGATATCAGATGGCAAGTGGTTTCCCTTAAGATTGCACATTTACAGACATGTGCATAAAGTCATGATCAAGTGGGTCTTCTTGCTGACCAAAACCGGCGTAACTATATA